CTGGCATCCTCCCTCTGGCCTCCATCCCTCGAGGAGCAGCGCCGGCTGGCTTAGGGGCACTTCCCTTCGGGGCCCCCAGCCCTTGGTGGAGATGAGCAGCCTTTCCTCTGCCTTCTCTCCGCGTGTCCTTCCCCTGTAACCTCTGACATGGGACTGACATGTCGCCACAGGCTGTGGCTTACGTCTCAGATTTCGCAAGTCCCTGGGAAAGCTGGCGAGTTAACCTCACCCTCAGTCCCCAAGGAACTGGATCACACTAGTCTTTCGGTGGGAAACTGTGTTTGTCATGAAAAGAAGGAAAAGTGATTTGTGGCCTGGCCACGCCAGGAGGCAGGCCCACCTCTCACACTGCCCTGGGGCTGCGAGCAGCCAGCAGCTAGGGGGTGGAGGGGACCAGGCAGAGGTGTGGCCCGTGGCCTGCTGCCCTGCGCCCTGCCTGGGCTGAGCCCCAGGAGTCCCGTCACTCAGCAACTGGCACAGGGAGGCTGTGCTGGATGGTGCACGGACACTGGAGAATCAGGGAGCATCAGGGCCCTGGGCAACCACACCCTTTCTCACCTTGCCGCAGGCCCAGTGCTTCAGCCCCGGGAAGACATCTAAAGGAGCAGGGCCGGGGTGGCCCAGGGCTGCACTCTGCCAGGGAGTGAACAGGACCCATGGAACTAAAGGAAGCAAAGAATGGGGGCCAGAGGAGGACCATCTGATGAAGCAAGAGCCTGCCTCCTCCATGCCCTGACTCCCAGTGGCAAGGGACCCTGCCTCTCGCTGCCTGCCGCACCCCCCTCCCGCTCTCCTTCCCTGCCCAGCATGTCCTCCTTGTCCTCCCACCCCCTTCCTCTCTCACGAATGTGAGGTTGCTTTGTGCACACTAAAGCCGAGTTTCACGTCAGTGGTTCAGATGGTTTCCTGCAGCCCCTGTCCTGAGGTCTCGGGCCAGCGTCCGGTTTGCTGAATACTCACCTCGGACAGCCATGTGACTGGGCTCCGGCCTTGCTGCCGGAGGTGAGTTTTGTGGGTGCTGATCCCTAACAGGATGCTGAATGTCTTAGACCTGCTCCCCTTGAGAAATGAGTGGGTCTTCCGTACCCCCAGCATCCCATGGGGCCTTCCCAGGAGACCCCGGGTGTCCATTTCCTCCCTCCGCCCACTCCTCCAACCCTGAGCATCCATTTCTAGTCTCTGGCCCCTCCTGACTCTCTGGGGGTTGGGATGGGGATTTGCAGGGGCCACAGAAGTAGAAGGGGAGTAACAAAGGACACCCCTGCCAACTTGCCTGTGCACACTCCTCAGTTCAGCCCTAGTGTCTCCAGTGGAGCGTCACCATGGCGGGTGCCTAGACTTGGTCCCTCTCCTTTGTCCTTTCAAGGCACAGAGGTCAGGGGAAGGTGGGCTAACTAGGAGAGAGGCTCCCCCAAAATAAAGGACTTTCAGGGCAAGTAGCTCGATTGGCAAAGCCGCAGCACCCCATCACTTCCTGGGCCTCCCTCCCTGGGCGCCAGAGTGCTGGGAGCCGGGGGCATCTATAATTCAGAGGCTGGGTACCGTGCCGGACGCCTCCCTGCCTCGACACCTCTGCCAAGTGAGAGGTGGAAGAAATCCTCTGCCAGGGGACTTGGCTGCCCAGGTGGCTGGACCGAGAGTTCTGGTTTCTGTTCCTGGCTGCATCGCAGGCCCCCTTGGCCAGGGCACTACTGAGGCCCCAGGTAGGCCTGCGATACTGCAAAAAAAGGGCAGGCCGCCTGCACCCTCCCTCAGGGCTGCCCGCTTCTAGCACTGTACATCCTGGCAGTTCATCTGCAGCCATTCAGTTCACTCTGGAAACCTGGAAGTCACCTTTGTAATTTCCCTTCTTTGTTTCACTGCCAAGGGCAGAGAGGGAGCAGGGAGACCTGGGAGTTTCCAGATCTCTCTCTG